ATAGGTCCCTAATTAAATTAAATTTAATGTGTTAGTGGCAAGCAGAATATAAGAATTTAAGGCCGACCAATTTTCTGTGTAGGAATTTTGGAGAACATAAATGAATGAATGATAATGCTTCCTAAAGATTTTTATAATGCACCTAATGATTTTTGTTCACCACTACCTTACATCCACTACCCATTTTTGGCTTCTTTTCATGATTGCATTGCCTTTAATTCCCATCATTTATTTGCCCTTTTGATTTTATTTATAATATTGAGATCTTTATTATGACATTAAATAATCTTTTTTTGTAATAAATAAATAAAAATATTTGTAAATATAGTATTTATAATTTGATTTCTTGAGAAAAAAAGTTATAAAAAAATTAGATAGTCTAATAGCTCATTTGATAATTACTTGAAATTTGATTGATCCAAGAAGGTGATTAGCACTAATTACATGCTAAAAGTAGTGTTGATCATTAGATCATAAGAAGGATATGAGTATGATCTCACACTCACAATGGTGAGCTAGGGGTGGAATAATTTAGGTTTTCATTATTAATAGGTGGGGTCAGGGTGGTCTACATAATTTTAACATTGTATGTGGTGCTAAAGGTTTAGCTCATTCATATATGATGGACCTACCATTTTAGCTTTTATTGTTAGGCTCTTGGGGGTCACTTCATAATGAGAAGGATTGTATTAATGATTTAAAATTTGAATTAATTTGATAAATCTATTTAGCTTTAATTAGGTGAATTCTTATTTTGATAGGGAGAAAAGATCAAATTTCCTCTTATTTAAAATCTTATTTGTAGTTTTTAAATGTATGATTAAAATTATCTATTGTGATTTAGCATAACTTAGATTATACTTTGAACTTATTTAAATGTAACATATAAAGCAAAAAATTTATTTGATTAAGAATGAATTTAGTTGCTTTTTTATTTTATTTTAAAGGGTCCATTAGTACGTGTATGCCTGTAATTTAGGCTAATACTTAGGGGTCAATTGAGTAACTTGAGAGTTTGAGGGGTTGGAATTTGGGTTGCTCAGTCTTGGGAGAAGAAGAAAGAGAATAAAAGGTGAATTAGGAAAGTTTGCCAGCAAGATTCTAAGTCTTTACACTAAACACTTAGCTTGAATGTCTTACCAAGCTCAAACAAAGCTCATCTTGATATGTTGGTTGGGGGTTTTAGTTACTAATTACTAAGAGGTCTTGGATTCAAAGTCTATATATGTAACGTGCCAGTGAATTTACCTTAACAGTTCAAATGTCCGAAAAAAAAAAAAAGACTTACAAAGCTCAAAGTTAGATAAGAAACCAGCATACTCCCAAAATAACATCTAAATATTTTTATGCATAAATGCATAATATTAGCATCCAAATCTTAAAATGAATAACAAAACTATCAACTTTCACTTTCAATGACTTATTAAGTTTGTAATAATTGAATTGTGTCATAATCACATTAATGCAAAGATAAGCTAGTTTATTTTAAATACTTATAGTAATGTTAAAATATACACTTAAAAAAAACAATTATATGAATTACTTGAAATATATAGGCTTCTCTATATCAAAATAATCGAAATGAATTAAAGAATACAATATAAATGATTTTGAAAATTTTCGGAATGTGCTAAAAGTGTGGCATAATTTTTGAGGGAAAACTTTATCTCATCTTTTAAAAGATCGAGTGTTACACCACATGCCAGTTGCCGAGAATTAGACTGGAACTATCAGGATCATGATTTCGAGGAATTATAGTTGGGTTCCTGCATGAGACTATCGAATGCAAAAAACAAAAAAAAAAAAAAAAACTTACAAAGCTCAAAGATAGATAAGAAACCAGCATACTCCCAATATAACATCTAAATATTTTTATGCATAATAATAGCATCTAAATCTTAAAATGAATAACAAAACTATCAACTTTCACTTTCAATGACTTATTAAGTTTGTAATAATTGAATTGTGTCATAATCACATTAATGCAAAGATAAGCTAGCTAGTTTATTTTAAATACTTAGTGTTAATTTTATAAATAAATTGTTCATTTATGTGAATATCCCTATAATAATTCACAAGCTATATGTTAGGAGAATTTGAACTTTTAAAAAGATTCATTTTCAATATTTGTAAAAAAAAAAAACTAATAAAGGAAGAAATTTGAATGATATAACTGTAAATATATTTTCCTTCTGTTTTAAGAGGAAAAAAATTCACTCTTCTCCTTTTTATATTTTAAATAAATATAGCCGTTAAACATAAAATTAATATTATTCATATTTTCTTAACATCATCAAAAGTAGTAACCTACACAATTTTATGCATTGTTTAGATCGTTGGATCATCCATCAAATGCATTTAGATAATGATGTTTATAAAGCAATCAATATTTTTTATTGATAAATGTATTTCGATTTGCCGTTTGGGTGGACTCTCGTCGGAACTGCAAATGGGCGAATAACGTTTGATTGAATTGCCCTTAAACATGCTTGAAATTACTCAATTGCAATCAATACTTTTCAATTGCAATCAATACTTTTCAAGTCATTAAAAACAAATTTAAGAGATCAGTATATTTATTTCAGGATGAAAAAATTAAATTTTGTTAGTTGAGAATGAACTGCAGTACTGTAGTTCTTCAATATTTTATAGTTATCATCAACTGCAAGATATTTTTTTTTTTAAATTTTGCAAGTAATAAAAGCCTGAAACAAATAACTTTTTTGTGGGGAAAACCGGAAAACCTGAAACAAATAACTAAATAAATAAAAAGAAAACCTTTACCGATATCCAACGGCACTTAAATTACAAAATTCCAAATTTTCTGAAGTACTATTCATTGATAACTGTTTCTTGTACAAAAAAATAGCTAAAAAACAACATCAAAGTTCTAAAAAAGCAAGCCCAGATTCCAATAACACATTGTTTCGTGCAATGATATGCTCATTCCGTCTCTTAAGTCTTCTGTTATCATTTCATGGAGGCTCCACCAGTCATCATTAGCATCGCCGCTCATGGCCTCAACCTATTCCCTTTATCAGAGCTAAAAGAAGAGATCAGAAAAGCAAATATAAAGAGACTATAGCAGTTTCACTCAGTTCCTCGTTTTTAACTGCTGAAAATCTTAAAGGTTTTGTTCTGATCCTTTAGCTTGTTGAAGTAAATATGAATTTATTCTCTGTATGATCTAACTATCATGAATTTTGGTCATGTAGGCTATGGAGACTCGTTTGCCTGAGCGGCTTGAGAACATTGAAGAAGATGAGTGCTCTGAAGGTTTGATCTCAGCTTCATTACCGCCACCAGAAACTCCCATAGAGACAATGGAGTTTCTAGCGAGGTCTTGGAGCCTTTCTGCCACTGAGCTCTCTACAGCTCTTAGCAACATGCTTCCTCCTGCTCGAGGGCTTCAAAACCATGGAGTAGAGGCAGGAGAAAAGCATGACAAGCAGGTTGTAGAGTCCACATTAGACTCTAGTCCTCCCTTCTCTTCAAGAGAGATTGAAAACTTTAAGGTTTGGTTGTTTAATGATTTCAAATGTCTCTATGTATTTGATTTGAAAAAAGAAGAAGATGAAGAAAGAAACAGTTAGAAACTCTTTATGAAAATTTGACTTGGAGTACAGGACAACAGTAATAACCAGAAAAATACAAAACAAAAACTGTTCTATAAAAAAGAAAAATAATCATTTGAGTGTTGTCATGTAGTATGATACAAATCCATTGTTGGGATCCTCGAAATACAGCAAAGAAAAGGATAAAGGGCAATTTGAGGTGTCGGCAACTGAAGATATTGGAAGATTGAGAAGTTGGAGGAGAAGAATAACGAGAGAGAGTAATTAAAGAATTACAAGTATTCATTAATGAACTATTAACCACTAATACAACTCAAACTATCTATTTTAATTATGTTAACCCATTACAAATCTCTATCATATTGCAAAAAAGCTATTCTTAGCTACTATACTTTTTCAAAAACTAATATAATTAATTGGAACAAAAAAAAAAAAAAACATCATCCACACAATCAAATTGTTATTTTTATTTCTTCTGCAAAATTTCAGTTCCTCAGAGGTGCTTCACGATCTAAAACAATGGTTGGGTGGCTGAAAGAACATAAACAGAGAAGGCGAGTAGAGGCAAGGACAAGAAGTGCACAAATATATGCAGCTACTTCAGTAGCTGGAGTAGCTGCTGCAGTTGCTTCAACTGCAGCTGGCTCAGTCTTTGCTCCTGAATCACTCACAGCTAAATCAAATAGCTCATGTAAAACTAGTGCAGCTATAGCCTCAGCAGCAGCCTTAGTAGCTTCCCATTGTGTGGACATGGCTCAGGCCATTGGAGCAACTCGCGAGCAGATTTTAGCTGTTATTCACTCTGCTGTTAACGCACAAACAACTGGTGATATAATGGCATTAACAGCAGGTGCTGCTACAGGTAATTTACTATAAACTAGAAGATAGTTGCGAGTGAAGAATGGTAATGAAGTTTATTTTCTAATTTTAACTTGTTTTCTGCAGCATTGAGAGCAGCAGCTATATTGAGTGCGAGGTTACAGAAGGAGACTAATGGAACATTGCTTATAGGTGAGAATAAAGAATCAGAAGGGTGTTTATCAGCTCAGGCTTTTGTTTCCAGAGGAGGAGAACTTCTCAAGAGGACTAGAAAAGGCATAGTTCTTCCTATTTGAATTCATTATCAACAACTCTGTGGCAAATAGAAAAAAATAGTTCCTTAATTATTCAACTGATGATTGATGATTTTGAGAAACTACTGACAGGTGATCTTCACTGGAAACAAGTTTGTGTGTACATCAATTCAAATTGGAAGGTAAAATGAAAGTGGGTTAATATTATACCAATCTTAGACTTCATTGAAATTAAGGCTTCATTTGGGTCAACGGCTTTCTTACTGCTTCTTAAAGCAGCTTTTTAGTTCAAAAATTAAAATTTTTGTAAAAGCTACTTTACGTACGAGGCGATAAGAAAACCGTTCCAAACGAAGCCTAATATGACATTTGATTGAAAGTGTAGGTGGTTCTCAAAATGAAAAGCACACACATGGCTGGAACTTTTGTGAAAAAGAAGAAAGGTAAAATAAGTAACTTTGTGAATAGCGGCTTATAAGAGAAATCAGATGTTTTACTAGAAACTGTAACTTTGATCTTGCAGGATTAGTTGTAGAAGTTTGTTCTGATATCCAAGCATGGCCAGGAAGGGAAGTAGCAGATGGAAGTAGTGTAAAGGGTTATTTTGGGATCAGAACTCCAGAGAGATTATTTGAATTTGAATGCAAAAATGGATGTGAAAAACAGATGTGGGTTAACGGTATACAGCAGATAATCAAATTTCGAGCTAATATGAGTACTGCCATGTCAATGTAAATGTTTTTATTAGTTATTAAGATGGCTTCTGTGTGACATGGAGTGTATGTTAATATTGTTTTAAGTCAAGCGATAAGCAAAGCTATAGATTAAAAGAAAATTTATGTATATGTAATATGTATTTTGTTTGATTTGGAATGTTTAAAGGAGAGAGTTAAAAGGGGTGTAATATCTAGCAATATGTAGTTGCTCTTACTGTAGGTTTAAGACAGGTTGATGAACAATAGAGTTTTAATCAGAGAATGCCTCTTACAAATGATCAAAAAATTTTACAAATAGAGTATTATTAGGAAGATTCACTTCTCTCTGTAAATGGGGATAAGTGATGGAGGAGGAAGGTGAAATGCACAGAATATTGAGTTCATATTCAGTCTGGCAAACGCCTAGCTTCATGGATTCTAAAATATTAAACTGTTTCTCATTTATAGGCGTCTTTCATTGCTCCTATTGATTGTAGGGAGTGGCTTAAATGATTGCTAGATAAGTTCAGAAGATGGAGAAATTATACCGCGCGGTCACCGGACGCTGTTCGAAGGCAAATCAGGATGTGTCATATCACTTTTTTTGTTCTGTACCAATGTTGTGTGCTAAGTGATGTGACACATTTTGATTTGCCTCTGAAATAATAGATTTGCCCTTCTTATAATTGGAGCATCGAAATTTTTTTGGAGGTTTCTATGAATAGAGTTCGATAGAGAAAAGTGATCAAAATAGTATCTGACTACATAAAAATACTAATTTGATCTCGTGACTTTTTAAATAGAGATCAAATTAGTCCTTTCGTGAGACCGTTTATATCTCTATTTAAGAATTCAATGGACTGATATGAAACTTTTAAATAATCAAAGGCCATCTTGATCCTTCTTAAAAAATCATTTTAGCAACTAAGCTTCTTAATCCCTTTTAAAAATTTGTGTTAGAAAAATAAGTTTTTATAATCAAATAGGATTAGCTACAACAAAATTAACAAAATGACTAACAGTGATTTTACAAACAGTTACAGTCATCTCCAACATACACTTAATTAAGCAAAAACCAACATCCTAACAAATTAGATAACCATGATTTATATAGCATTAACAAATTAATCAATACAAGTCAAGGGACTGTCTCAGCCTGCTCTCCACCCACAGCGGCGACAGCACAGGAGTCATTCCATACTCCTCCCCTTCCAACCTCACCGGCGGCCACCGCCTCTCCTCCTCCCCTTCCTCCTCCTCCTCCTCCTCCTCCTCTTCCTCCTCCTCCTCTGCCTTCTTCCTCCTCTCCTTCTCCTGATGTTCACTGATCACCACCTTCAACCTCCAGGCCTTCAGCATTCTATCCAAGCTGGCGCTATAAACCAATAAGCCAATCCCACCTTCCCTTACCATCTCCATCTCCACCGCCACTGCAATGCACCGAACGGGTCCCCGGTGGCCTTCCATCACAGCCAAGCACACGTGGAAGCCGCTCCCTTCTTCTCTTCTCCACACTCTTATCGTCGTGTCTTCCGACCCGCTTAGGATTAGCCTTTCCACCGCCGCCAGACACAGTACCGCATACCTTTATATGCAAAGTTTAAACAAACAGTATTGTATTTATAAGCGAATTAGTACATGAAAATTTGGATACATAGTTATTTAATACATTTTTATATTTATTTATTTAGATAATAATACAAATTTTATTAAGAAGTTAATGAGTGTCAATAAATAATCCGACCCGTCAGCCCAACCTAAATCAGATTGAAAAGCTGGGTTTTGGTTGGGTACAAGTTGAAAAGGTCTAGTTAGAGTTGACTCCGAACCTACTTTTAACCTCAAAATGATATCTTTGTTTTTTTTTTCTTATTTTTTTACCTATAAGTATAGTTTTCTTATTTTTGACCAAATGTCATAATAAAAAGTTACCAAATTTGTTTAATAAAAATAGATTAGCATGTCGGGTTTAGGTCATTTGAGTTGTTAGAGGATTAAGTTCAAGTTTATCTTTTTGACTTATTTATTCAACAGGTCAAGTTTAAGTCGATTGGATTTGAATTGGGTCTATTTAGATCATCTACAATCGAACTCATACCACTGTATCTCGTCCACCATTTGCTCCATTCCAACTCCAAATTCCGGTGGTGAACAGTGTGACGCCAATATTGACATCAGATTGTTCACCTACGCAAAAAAAAAAAAAAAAAAAAAAAAAAAAATCGATGTGTGATTTGTCGAAGAAGCACACAAAAAAGAGAAAAGTGCATCAGAGATGGTTACCTTCGCAAGGCGTGCGAAAGAAGAAATGGTGTTCGATTGGAAAAAAATGACTGCATTTTGGAATGAAAAATGAGTTTTTCTAGTTCAAATTCAAATCAACCCATCAATCCGTTTTGACACACTCTAATGATATTTTATAAAATAACTTTAATGTATTTTAAGAAAGCGTAATTTTGGAATGTATTGACGTCACCTGTGGCCTTGGAGGTAGCCGCCATGGTGGTACCTCCCTGTGACCGCCTCCCTCTTCCAAATATTCACATACCCATCCGACGATCCCGAGTACACATAACTTGCTCCACCGCCTCCGCCGCCGGTGCCGCCGACCACTAAGGCGTTGACCGGCGAGGCCTGAAACCTCAGAACCATGGTCAGCGCGTGGCTGTTCTCCCCGTACGTTCTCCGCCACACTTTCACGCACCCATCCGCACCCGCCGTGAACACCCCGCCGTCATCCTGCCCCACCACCACCGCATTCACCCTCCCCTCGTGCGCCACGAAGGAGTCAACGCACGTGCCATCCCCCACTTGCCACGCCTTCACCGTGCGGTCCCAAGACCCGGTGTACAGAATTTCTCCGGCAGTGTATAGAGCCAAACAGGATATCTCCTCCCGGTGCTGCTGCTGCACCCGGTCCTGCCAAAAGAAGCTTCTTTATCAGGCGTTACTTGGATCGAAGTGAAGTGAAGGGAGAATGAAATAAATTTTTAATAAATTAGATAATTTGAATTCATTTATTTAAAATTTAAGAAATTAGAGAATTTGCATTAATTGTTGCTCGAAATTATGGGCTTAGTAATTGACATTGCTTATTTTCATCCACATTCAAAGCCTCATAAACTTCCCACCTGCCTTCGCCGGAAGAGCGAAACTCGCAACCTCCTAGCCGGAAAAGTCGCCACCTTTCGCCACCGCACTCCCGAAGACGCCGACGCCATCGCCACCGCCCAGACTCGCACCCGCCGGTCAGCGTGAGCCGTGAAAAGCGTGTCTCCATGGACCAATATAGCGCGCACATGTGGCCGGCGAGTTCGCAACAGGCCGCGGTCCGCGATGTCGGGCAGGCCCCAGGCCCGAACCCGGTCAGAATCGGAGCCCGTGAGAACGAGCCGACCTCTTGCGGCGAGGGCAATGGCGTGGACGTTGCCTTCCTGGCGGTGGAGAGAGGTGAGGCAATGGTAGTGGATGGAAGGGGACGGACGTTGTGGCGTGTGACCGATGCTGTGGCGGGGAGGGGAGAGAAGCTGCCAGGGGGAGGCGGTGGAGGGGCGGCGAGGGGAGAGGGTGACGGTGTCGGAATGGGGAGGAGAGTGGAAGCCGCGTCGGGCTGGGTCGGGTTCGGGGATGGCCCAGAAGGATTTCTTGCCGTGGAGTTCCATCTAGAGGAGATGTGGTCGCCAGTGTAGCTCGAAGGAGATGGAAGCGCCATATATTTATATACTCATCCAAATTTAAAGTTTGCTTGGGGCTGCCCTAATTTTTTATAATGATTTTTATAAAGTTATTATACATTTGTGATTATAAAAATACCTTAATGGGAAATTGTTAACTAAAAAGTTGTTTTAAAAAACATTAAAAAAAATAGTCCCATTAGTACTTTAATTACAATATTTTCTTAGGAAACCACTTATTTGCCCAAAATTTCAAAGCTACTAATAAGAACTCGAAGAAAACCTCAACAAAATTGGAAATAAGATAGCAATGCCCATTCGAGACCAAGGCCTCATTCAGGACGGTTTACTTACTGCTTCTTAAAACAATTTTCTGATTATTTTTTAAGTAGCTTTTTAGTACTTTTGTGTCCTGGAACATTCACAGTAGTAGAGAGATATAGTGTATAGCATCTGAGCTTTGTATAAAGATTCATCGCACATACTGATGAGAGATATGGGTGCCATAGTCATAAGAGATACCATAATCTTTATGTGAAAAATCCTAAAATGTGAGAAAAATTATGGGGCCTAGCCCAGTTGAAATGAATCTACTAGTGTTTGTAGTTGATTAAAGAGTATATTATATGGTGGGAGTTAGAAGAATTTAGTGATATAAGAGTTGTTATCATGAGCGTGCTGAACGGTTCGTTTGGTTGGTAGGACTTCAGTCAGGTGATGGTGGTCAAAGGGATTATAGTCAGCCGGTGAAGATGATAGGAGGGGCTGTAGTCGTCTGAATGCATTGGTACCAAGAACGACGTGCAATAATCGTTAGAGGGATCATAGTCATCGACAATAGATGCTGGAGAGATTGTAGTCAACAAACGACAAAGGTCAGAAGGCTCGTAGTTAGTCGGTGATGGTGGTCAGAAGGACCATAGTTGGCATGCAATGATTTTTGGATGAGCGGTGGTCCGGCACAGTAGAAGGCCAAATGGAGGTCTGGCGATGTTCGATCAGGTGGAGATCTGGTTGCGGTGGGCAACTAGGTGGAGTTTAGGCTAGTGTCATTAGACGAGCAGTTATTCGACAATGGCCTGTGGACAGACCAACAGATGGTAGTTTGGCAGGGTCGGCAGACAGGCGGTCATCCGACGACGATTGATAGATGGTCGGTGGTCAGGTGAAGATTGACGGACAGGCGTTGGTCCGACAATGGCCGGCGAATGGGTGATGGTCTGGTGACGGTCAACAGAAGTTCATCGTCGGTTGTGCTTAGGTAGAGCTCAAGATCCTTGAAACCTCATGGCTCTCTCTCATGTCTAGCAAAAGGTCTTAAGCATCCTTTCATATGAGAAGTGAGGATCTATTTATAGATTTTTTGAAGTGGCATGCTCCATAAATATGGAAAATATCCATTGGAGTGGTCAATCAGATGGCTTATATCGATTCCCTTGATCAAAGAACGCCCATCAAGCATTTGAGTGTCATAATGATGTAACAATCAAGCATTCTTGGGCTCGTTGGATTCGTCTTGTCGAGCCGCTCAATTCGACTATAAGCATGCTATATTTGGATATCATTTGATCATCCAATTTATGCTTTAAAGCTTCCAAATATTTTATGGTCCTCTGATTTGGATCCATTTGGGCTCATATTGGATCGATTTTGGTGTCGTTGGGTTCGTCTCTTCAAGACATTCAGTTTGACTATAAGTTTGTTGAAATTGGAGTTCATATGATCCGAAATTTAATTTTAAAAGTCGTTAGCTTGAACATGCCTCAAGATTTGTGCTCGATCAATATAATTTTTGGTGGCTTATCAAGTACTAAAAAAATTTTTTCTCAAAAGCTACTTTATAAAATATTAAGATGGTTATCCCAAACAAAGCTTAATTCCCATCCATTTGTTCTTGTTCGATGCCCTATTTTGCATGATAAGTTCTTTTTGATCTTTTACAGTTTTGTTTTGGTTAAGTTTTAGTTAAACAAATCAAACATATTTTAGCACCATCTGATCACAAAAGATCTAAATTCGCATAAAATATTGTGATTTATGAGACAGGATTTGAGGCATTGAAGGTGTGAGATATGTCCCATTTCAGAATTCAAAGAGTTTTGTACACTGATACGGCAGAGCATATCAGCTCATTTTAAAGCACAAAAGATCTGAAGAGATTGCTCGAATCACTTTGTCTCGTACATGAAAAAGAAAAAAAAAACAAGCCAAGTTTCATCATCAATTTTTTAATAATATTGCTATAAATTTTTATTAAGTCTTTTTTCAGGATGACTTTTTTATTGATTTTTAGACTTCATTTGAGACGGCATCCTGGAACATTCACAGTGGTAGAGAGATATATTGTATAGCGTATGAGCTTGGTACAAAGATTCATCGCACATACTGATGAGAGATAGGGGTGCGAGAGTCATAAGAGACACCATAATTTTTATGTGAAAAATTCTAAAATGTGAGAAAAATTATGGGCCCTAGCCCAGTTGAAATGAATCTACTAGTGTTTGTAGTTGATTAAAGAGTATATTATATGATGGGAGTTAGAAGAATTTAGTGATATGAGAGTTGTTCTCAAGAGTGTGTTGAACGGTTCGTTTGGTTGGTAGGAAAGTAGTCAGGTGATGGTGGTGAAAGGGATTATAATCGGCCGGCGAAGATGATAGGAGGGGTTGTAGTTGTCTGGATGCATTGGTACCAAGAACGGCGTGCAATAATTGTTAGAAGGATCGTAGTCAACGACAATGGACATCGAAGGGATCATAGTCAATAAGCGACGGAGGTCAAAAGGATCGTAGTCAGTCGGTGATGGTAGTCAGAAGGATCATAATTGGCATGCAACGGTTTTTGGATGAGCGGTGGTCCGGCGCAAGGCCAAACAGAGGTCTGACAATGTTCAATTAGGTGGAGATCTGACTGCGGTGGGCAACAAGGTGGAGTTTAGGCTAGCGTCAGTAGACGGGCAGTTATTTGACAATGACCTGTGGACAGACGATAGTTAGGCGGGGTCGGCAGACAGGCTGTTCTCCGACGATGATCGATAGATGGTCGGTGGTCAGGTAACGATCGACGGATGGGCGTTGGTCCAACGATGGTCGGCGGATGTGTGATGGTCTGGTGACGGTCGATAGAAGTTCACCGTCGGTTGTGCTTGGGTAGAGCTCTAGATCCTCGAAACCTCATAGCTCTCTCTCATGTCTAGAAAAAAGTTTCAAGCATCCTTTCATATGCGAAGTGAGGGTCTATTTCTAGATTTTTTGAAGTGGCTTGCTCCGTCAATATGGAGAAGATCCATTGGATTGGTCAATCAGATGACTCATATTGATTCCCTTGATCAATGAAAGCCCATCAAGCATTTGAGTGTCATAATGATGTAACAATCAAGCGTTCTTGGGCTCGTTGGATTCGCCTTGTCGAGCCGCTCAATTCGACTATAAGCATGCTATATTTTGATATCATTTGATCATCCAATTTATGCTTTGAAGCTTTCAAATATTTTATGGTCCTCTGATTTGGATCCATCTGGGCTCAGATTGAGTCGATTTTGGTGTCGTTGGGTTCGTCTCTTCAAGACATTCAGTTTGACTATAAGTTTGCTGAAATTGAAGTTCATATGATCCGAAATTTAATTTTAAAAGTCGTTAGCTTGAACATGCCTCAAGATTTGTGCTCGATCAATATAATGTTTGGTGACTTATCAAGTACTAAAAAATTTTGTTTTCTCAAAAGCTACTTTATAAAACATTAAGATGTTGTCCCAAACAAAGCTTAATTCCCATCCATTTGTTCTATTTTCGATGCCTTATTTTGCATGATAAGTTCTTTTGATCTTTTACAGTTTTGTTCTGGTTAAGTTTTAGTTAAACAAATCAAACATATTTTAGCGCCATCTGATCACAAAAGATCTAAATTCGCATAAAATATTGTGATTTATGAGACAGGATTTGAGGCATTGAAGGTGTGAGATATGTCCCATTTCAGAATTCAAAGAGTTTTGTACACTGATACGGCAGAGCATATCAGCTCATTTTAAAGCACAAAAGATCTGAAGAGATTGCTCGAATCACTTTGTCTCGTACATGAAAAAGAAAAAAAAACAAGCCAAGTTTCATCATCAATTTTTTAATAATATTGCTATAAATTTTTATTAAGTCTTTTTTCAGGATGACTTTTTTATTGATTTTTAGACTTCATTTGAGACGGCTTTCTTACTGATTTTAAAACCAAATTTTTAGTACAAGATTTAAAATTATTGTACTAAAAAATTATTTTAAGAAGCAGTAAAAAAGCTGTCCTAAATGAAGCCCTGAAGTAATGTTTTAATAAAAAAAAAGTGACAAAAACTAAAATTAGGACAACTTTCTTACTATTTCACTTTTCAAATCGTAATCACAATTTTTATTTAGTCATTAATTTTTCATCATTTTCAATAAATTTTTTTTACAGCATCTTTCAAAAGCTGTATGTTTTCTAAAGCAGCTTTAAGAAAAATTATTTTCCTCACAATAGCTTAATCACCTTTGTAAAAAACTACAGCCACCACAAACAGATCATGTATTTGTTTGCGATGTCGGGAACTTGATGTAAAAGTAGTTGGAACTTAGTAGCATAAATTTGTTTTGAAAATAGTGAAAAATTAATTATCAAATAAAAATTAGGATTGCAATTTGAAAAGCAAGCAGCAAGAAAGCCGTCTTAAATGAAGCCTTAGGCTTTATTTAGGATGGCTTTCTATTGCTTCTTAAAATAATTTTTTAGTATAAAAATTTAAAATTTTTAACTAAAAGTTGTTTTAAGAACCAGTAAGAAAGCCGCCCCAAACGAGACATTAATATTACATTGATATTAAAATAATTTGATAATTTAGGTACGGGTGGTTTTCATTAATACTGTAACATGAAATATGATTCGTGTTATAAATAGGTCACGTGATTAGAATGGGATTCAAACTACGAGGATGAACTGTTTAGTTACTCGATGAGTGCAATCTATTTATTAAATAAGTTGTTTAATATATATATATATAAAAAAAATTCATTTTTAAAGCAACTTCATAGTACAGAAATTTGTATTTTAAACATTTTTATATGAAAAACTTACTTTAAAAAGTAATAAAAAAAATTATTCTCGCGAAAAAAATATACATTATACCCTCAATGCAAGATATTTCTAAATGACTTATCGCTACTCTAAGCAAGTTGTCTTATTTTTGTTTTGTTCATTTAAAATATGGTAAGATAATTTTATGTTTAAAATATGTTAACTTTTTTTTTTTCAATTATGTATATCCTATGCTCTGCTTAATATTTAGGATTATTTATCTCCATATGATGCCTCTCATTTTTCATGCAATTATTCACTTAATGGTTGTTTATTCAATTAGTACAAATAATTGTAATATCTTATGAAAAATAAATAATTCTTTTTCACCAATAATATTTTGATTTGAGTCATATAGTATCATAGATCACACTGAATCAGATCAGTGCAAGAGGATTGTTGCGGACTCGAATATTCATGGTGGTAGAGAAACATAGAGTTTATGATTCAAGCTTTGTACGAAAATCTAGCTACCATGTCTAAGAGAGAGGGGTGCAAGAGTTGACCCATTCCTTAATCTAGAGGCGATGCAATTATAAGAGTTTGGAGGGTTGGGCAGAAGTCTAATGATGTTCGGGCAGCCGGACAAAAGTCTCGTGATGGCCAGCGATAGGGTTGAAGTTTGGCGGTTGCTTGGCAGTGGTTCGACGGTAATAGGTAGCCGGGCGGTGGTCTGAAGAAAATTGGTGGTCGGTTGATAGTGCGATGACAATCGGCGGCCGGTTTGTGGTGCAATGACAATTTGTGGCTGGTCGATAGTCCGGCGACAATCGGTGGCCGGTCGGTGATCGGATGGAGGTTCGACAACGATTGGCTGTCGGGTGGTCCAAGGATGATTGGACGGAAGTTTGGTGGCGGTCGATGGTCGACAGCCGGATTGTGGTCCGGCACAATCCGACGGGTAGGACTGCAAGCGAACCAAGCGTTCGACGAGCTACTCGTTATTCTATTCGATTAAAGCTCGTTTGTGATCGTTTAATTAACTAAACATACAAACTTGAATAATATTTTAAATACTCAATTTTTAAATAAACAAACTTGAACACTTATGTGTTCGACTAATTTATGTTCACGAACAACATCATTTGAAGCTCGTGAACAAGCTCGACATTAAGCTCGATAAGAAGCTCGATTTGTGTTTGATTTTCAACTCATGAATAAGCTCGATAAAAGTAATTAATATTTGATTATAGAATATGCAACATGTACGTTTCATTTAAAAATATATTCATATTGATTAATGTTATTTTTATTTTATATAGATAATTGCTTTTATTATAAATGTGTTTGTTCGTAGATATATTCATGAACATGTTTGTTTGATAGTTTAAAAAAATTCGTTAAATATATTGGTGAACATGCTCGATGTAATAGTTTGTCAGGAAGCTCGATAAAACTCGTTTGATAAGTTAATGAACATCTAAAAGTAGAGCTCGTTCATGCTTGTTTGTTTAAAGCTCGATAAGCACTAAATAAATCGAACATGAACTAATCATGAACCGAACATGAACACTCATTAATTTAAACGAACCAAATATGAACACAAACAATAAAGCTCGAACAAACATGAACCAAACTTGAACAAGCTGATATTAAATGAACACAAACATGAACACTCACATACTCGGCTCGGCTCGATTCGTTTGCAGCCCTACCGGCGGGCGACTTTTATTGATTTCCTTGATCATAAAGTGATCATCAAGCATCAAGCATTGAAGTGCCTTAATGGTGTCAGAATTAAGTGATCTTGTGCTTGTTGGATTCGTCTCTTTGAGCCACTCGATTCTATTATAAACATGTCATATTTAAACATCACTTGGTCATCCAATGAATGCTTTAAACCTTTCAAATATGTTTCGATCCCTTGATTTGAACTCATTTGGGCTCAGATCAGACTGATATCGATGTCGTTGGGTTTGTTTACTTGAGATGTTCAATTTGATTATAAGTTTGTTGAAATTAGAGTTTGGATGGTCCCATATTTAAGTTCAGAAGTTTTCAACCATGATATATCTCGAGATTCATACTTGATTAAGACAATTTCTGATGATGTATCAAGGATAATTTTAAATCATCAAGAATATGTACATACCACATCATAAGTGTCACATCCCGAGATCTAAAGTGAAAGATTTTTTTTCTTTTATTATATTTTCTATTAACAACCAATAATCAATCATTTACAACCAGATAATTTTACATCCGAAGTTAATTAATTACATTACAGGAAATAAATACAAAACGAAAAACATCATTCACATACTGTAATCAATTATGTCTCATATTCTCTCTGTTCTTATACTTATATTCCCTATACACAAAAGAGTTATACATTTAAATCGAAAGAAAACTAAAATATCATTACAGCTAAGCTTCAATCCACAAGCTCTTTACCCTAACATGAAATGATATAAAACTACATAATGAGCATGAAAGTCGAACAAGTAATCAGAAATATTACAATTGAAATCAATGCAATAAGAAGATAAATAATATGTTGTAAATTATATATAAAAAAATTAATGCATCATTATCTATACAAATTATCTATACCAATCACTTAATTTATAACACATCACATCTTAGTTTATTACATCACTAGTCATAATTTCAATAAATAGTATTAGTATAGTAATATTATTACTATCAGTATTCTTAGTCTCAATCACAATAATAATTGATTATTAATAATAGTAAGTATCAATATAGTGTAATATCAATAACAGTAAGGAGTAATCAATAACAATAATCAGTATTAGTATAGAATTCAAATATTCAGAAGAATTAATATATCTTGGTCTTGCTTATGCACTTATGACTCTCAATTAGTCACCCCTTATAACTTCTAATTAAAGAAGTCCTTATAACTCCTCTTGAAACACATGACAATTGCCCCAATTTCTTATAACTCATAATCAATCACTAGCTCCTTATGACTCTCATCCACTAATTCCCACTAGTGGACCACGTGGATTTTTAGGATATCATATGAGGTTATCATATCATATCCATACATCAAATCAAATTTGGACTAGTAGCAATATTATATTCTTGCATAACTCAATCATTTTTGACATTTCAATACATATTGCTCTGTGGTCTTATATATCATGTCAAATCACAGTACAACACTTTTCAACCCATTTTCACTGTGCCTTTTTCCTACTCATTTTATCCGGAAATTCTTTTACACATTTAATTGGTGAAAATGCAATAAAATTATATCATTTTATTCAAACTGATCAAATCTATAACATATCAAAAGTTATATAGAGAAATATTACGAAATTAGGAGATAATATATTTTTTATAGATTTATGAGAGATAATAAATCCGTAGAAATCAAAATTATCAAAAACAGAAGTAAGAGAATAGTTACTTAAAATGATCAGAACACTTTTTACAAGAGAAGCGATAGACAAAAAATGGATATGAAATTACTTTCTATCTTCTTCCTCTCCCTTCTCCCTTTCCTTTCCGAGCAAGCCACAGGCGAAAATGGGGGAGGTGACGGTATTGGAAGACTTTAATGCTTAGGTTTATAATATATATATACTAGTGACCTAGCACTACAACGCTCAGACTCATTGCCACAGTTCTGCATGTAGAATCCAGAATTACTATAAAACACTGCAATAACATTTTCTAACGTAGCTGTGCTCTTAAACCTAACGTCGCAGCGCTCACAAGTACAACACCGAAGCACTCTAATTCAAACATATATTCAAAATTTTATATTTTAAAATACCTTTCATTTTCGAGTTGCTGCACTAAGATCCCAAGATTGTTCGATGTCCCTGTATCATCATCAACCTAATCAACTCCATCCTTGCCCTTGTCATCCCCGTTGGCCTTATCAGTCATTGTTGCCTTCCTCGTTGACCCTGCTATTATTGTTATTATTGCACAATTTTAAAAAATTATTATTATTACATAACTTAAAAAATTATTATATACCAATGTTGTTGTCTATTCTTTAAGTCCTAAGTGGAAAAAATAAATTGTTACATTAAATAGTCCACAACTAATATAAAACTTGTCAAACAATCATAATATTATATATTCATATAAAATTTAATTCAATTTTAAATCAATCAAATTAAAAAAAAATAGTTCCTTAAATTTATTTTACAACTAATTACAAAATTTGTAGTGTTTATTAAAATATCCATGTATAAATAATTGCAGCAGAGTAGCCCCTACATCTTAAGTTTTAAATGAGAATTTATCTGCATACTGTAATTTTATTAAAATAAAATAAATTTATAAAAGAAAAGACAAAAACGACCCTGCATATGCTCTAATGCCTCAGATTTCCTTTAGACTGTTTCAATGGGGGCCATTTTGTAAATTTAGCAGCACTTAATGCCCGTCTACTGTATATTCTACTGTCATTACTGTTGTCTTCGGAAGATCAAGAGAGTTCCTGAACCAAAAACCCAATGCGAGCTAACAATCAAGATCCTAAAAGGCTCTTTAGGTTTGTCTTTCTTCTCAATTTGATATTTTTTTCACATATCTAGAAGGATTTTTATCTTTTAAAGCATTCCTGCGTCTCTTTTTTATGTATTTTTTGATGTAATTGTTCAGCATTTTATGTCGTGTAAGCAATGCTTTGACCTAGAAATCATGATTCTATGCGCATCGACATTCACGTGGTTAATTTAATGTAGATTCAAGCTTGTTATGAAACCCTAAAGAGTTTCTTAGAGAGCTCGAGATTGATCATGTTTTCTACTTTGAATATTTTCTGCTTTTAGTTTTGAAGTTGTATCAGAACATTCTAAGTTCTAGAGGTCATTTTGATAATTTCAGATGCATTATTCTGAAATTATTCTGTATTTTATGTTTTCAATTCATTATTGCATGGAAGAACTTCAATGATGATGGAGAATGCGGAGGAGGATAGATAAAGAAAATATAAAATGTGATAAGGCTAACATTGATGATATGATGGAAGAACTTTATTGATGACTATTACGATTTCTTTTGGTTTTCATTTTAAAATTTCCTCGATGTTGGTTTGAACTAACTTAGTAGTTTTATCTTCTTCTCTAGGTTATGGAATGATTGAAGTTTTGGAGAGGTCAATATGGAAGGTTATATTGCCAAGTCTCAATTGCTGTGCTATGTCAGAAGGAGAAGGATGGTTTCAGTGATGGCTTTGATAGTTGCTGTTGTTTTAATCCTTCAAATCTTCACACTTCCCTCTAGAATTGCTATTCAACCCCATTTTCCTTCTTCCAAATTACCTGCAAGTGATATGGGAAGCTCGCAAAATACGGATTTTTATTCTCAATCCCTAAGACTTGGAACACTCCCTCTGTCAAGTGACTCACATAACTTGATCGATTCCATAAAGATTTTCAAGGAACCAGATCATGGTTTTAGCATCAAAGAAATGAATGAAAAGTCGGAGCAAGATGAGGACTCTGATGGTATTATTGACCTGGATGAAGATGAAGAAGCTGATACGGAATTTGCAGTCAATCTTGAAGATGAAAACATGTTAAAGACCGTTAAGGATTCAGAAGATAATTTTTTTTTGATAGAAGATGGGATGAGCAAAGAAAATACTCCATTAGTGGTTGAACAAACAGGAATTACAGGTAATGAACGAGAGGACATTGAAGGAACATTGAGTGTGAATTCAGGCAATGATGCTGTGTTTCCAGTACCTATAAGTTCATCAGGAAAAGTTTCAACTTTACAGAGTAAGAAGAATAAACAAGAACCTGGTGATGGAGCATCAATGTCATCTGAGACTTTACCAACCATATTACGTGCCAATGAAAGTGCTGGTAACACCTCAAGGAAAAAGAAGAAGCTGGAAATGCCTCCACTATCAGTGTCTGAAATGGACATGCTACTGCTTAAAAATCGTGCTTCACGCCGTTCAATGGTACCTGTATTCTCTTGGAGAATCTCACTTAGGTTTTGTTTGGGACAGCTTTTTTATTGCTTTTCAAACCAACTTTTTAATACAAAATTTTTATTTATTTACTCGAAAGCTGATTTAAGAAGCAACTAAAAAGCTGTCTCAAACGATGCCTTAATCTCATTATATTTCATATAAAATGTATTTCCAGTCATTTGACATATTCAGCCATTTGTAGAGACCTAGATGGTCATCAGCAATTGACAAGCAGATTTTGGCTGCCAAGAAAGAGATTGAAAAAGCTCCACCCCTACAAAATGATCAACTCTTCTTTGCTCCGTTGTTCCGAGACATTTCAAAGTTTAGAAGGTTAGTTAATTATGTGATATAAATCTTTATTATATTCTGTTTATGAAAATTCAGCTATTTTCTTTTGCACATGTTTTTTATTCTTATATCTTGTATATGTGGAAGAATAAATTAGGGAAAAAAATCAGTAGACTTTAGTCCCTAGTACTTGTTTGTAGATGTTCTGTGTATGAAGAATGTCATCCAATGAAAATTCCTCTGAAATAATATAGGCCCATTAAAAATAAAATATAATTAAATGTAAGCTTTCTGTACAGATTATTGAATGTATTTTAAATATGTGTATGCGATAAACCATCTAATGAAAATCTTATCTCTTTGATAGTTAACAATAGATGAGGATGAGGATGCTCAGGTGGATGAGTGGCTTTACTCTTAGAGATAGGATATGAAATGAGCTTATTCGTGAAAAAGTTGGAGTAGCTCCAGTGGAAGATAAGATTAGAGAGAGTCGCCTTAGATGATTTGGTCACATAAAACGGTGGCCTTCCAATGACCCGGTTAGGAAAATAGAGATATTATATTTGACTTATGTTAAGATAGGTAGAGGTATACCTAAAAAGAATTGGTTAGAGAATATTAGAAATGATATTTTCTTATTATATTTAAACGAGAGTTTGACTTTTAATAGGACGGAATGGAGGAAAAGGATTCATGTAGCTTACCCCATGTAGTGGGATAAAGGCTTGATGTTGTTGTTGATAGTTAACAATAGAATTGAAACTAAGAATATCCGATGACAACTTAAGCCATCAGTGTTTATTTAACAACATTAAAAGCAGGGTAAAGACTACTATAAATGATAAAATAGCAAAAAGAAATGTCTAAGCTACTTAGAAATTTAGTGAGTAATTAACTTCTGACTAGGAAGCTGTAACCTGTAACAAAGAAATTACTGAGATGGAACAAATCAACTCTTCATTGAAGTATTTTTGGTTTTGGAAACAAAAATAAATATTTTCTCAGGATGTCCTAATGCAATTTATGGCTAGGATAAGTGTCGGAGTTGCTTTGAGATTAGTGCAATATACATTTTCTAAGTCCATCATTAATCTCAAAGCAAATCGAATAGTTTCAAGGCTCATTCTCAGTCAAGTTCCTCATGCAGGAGCTATGAACTGATGGAAAAGACTCTCAAAATCTATATCTATCAAGAAGGAAAAAGGCCAATATTCCACCAACCACTTCTTGGAAGCATTTATGCATCTGAAGGATGGTTCATGAAGCTTATGGAGAGCAATAATCACTACCTTGTTAAAGACCCCAGGCAGGCTCATCTCTTCTACATGCCTTTCAGTTCTCGTCTCCTACAGTTGTCCTTGTATATCCGCAATTCTCACAATCGAACTGCCTTAAGAAAACATCTAAAAAACTATGTAGATATGATTGCAGCAAAATATCCTTTCTGGAATAGAACAGGTGGGGCTGACCATTTCCTTGCCGCTTGTCATGACTGGGTATTCTCAATCTTCAAACTATTATGTATTTCACTGTTAAAACTTAAAAAGCTTCTTTCTTTACCAGCTTTCTCTTTGCAACAGTCACTGTATGAAACAAAGAATACCATGGATCACAGCATCCGTGCACTCTGCGTCGCTGATCTCGGCATCGGATTCCAGTTAGGCAAAGATGTTTGTCTTCCTCAAACCTATGTCCGTTCGCCGAAGAACCCTCTGAAAGACCTTGGCGGACGGCCATGGAACCAAAGACCAATTCTTTCCTTCTACGCCGGAAGCTTACACGGCAACCTTCGCTCCGTTCTGCTGAAGCATTGGGAGAACAAGGACCCTGACATGAAAATATTTAGCCCATCAACATTTCATGCAGAGAAGAACAAGATGAACTATATCCAGTACATGAAGAACAGCAAGTACTGCATCTGCCCAAGGGGCTATGAGGCAAACAGCCCGAGATTAATGGAGTCTATATTCTTTGAATGTGTTCCAGTGATCATAGCAGACAATTATGTTCCCCCTTTCTTTGAGATACTGAACTGGGAGAAGTTCTCAGTGATTGTTCCTGAGAAGGATGTTCCAAGACTTAAAGAAATACTGGTATCGATTCCTGAGTCAGAGTATAGGGAGTTGCAGAGAGGGGTCAAGAAGGTTCAGCAGCACTTCCTGTGGCACCACAAACCTGTGAAATATGATTTGTTTCATATGATACTCCACTCAATTTGGTTCAGTAGAGTTTATAACATAAAACCTAGATGAAAAGAGTGTAATTTGGCTTGTAGTATGGGAAGAAGCTCCATGGTGAGTTGAATCTGTAAGCTCTTTGTAACATAAGTGATAAGTAATGCTTCTTCTTTGGCTGTCTTCTCTTGTAATACCAGGCATTGCTATGCTCATGTAATTAGACATCTGTTGTAGGATTTTGCAGAGTTCTTGAAGTAGCACCTCGTTGATTCAGATCATAAAAAAAAATTATTGTGCGGGTACCAAAGTCTGTTTAGAGACTAATAAAAATGTATCACATCATCTTTTTATTGTACCGCGGCTCAGTACTGTTCGATACCATGGCTTAATGCCGCTTGGTACTGCGGCATCTGGACGTAAAGCTGCGTCCGATGCCCGCACAGAATTATCTCTCCAGAGCATGGGTGTCACACGGAAGACACCAAAATATCTTTCAGAAAAATGGAGAATGTATAAATCTACACTCGGTGGTTTGCCTAGCAGAGAGCAGAAAAAATGGATTTTCACTCTTGATTGGCTCTCCCTTCATCTCCTCCCTCCTACAAAGCCGAAGGGCTCCTATTTTTCTCTCAAATAAAGCTCAATATTGAAAAAAAAACCTCCTTATTTTTGTTAGATATTGTGTGTGCAAGTTGAAACAACTCTGCTCTCTTGGAAGAGATTAGTAGGGTGTTAAAAATTGACCTGATTCTTCAACCTGATTTGAACTCGACTAAAAAAAATCGGATTCGGTTGACCCGTTTAATAAACTGCCGGGTTTAAATTGACTTACAAACCTGTTTTTTATCCTAAAATATCCTGTTTAACATTTTAAAAAAATATTTTATATGTGATTTTAATCATATTATTTTTTTATTAAATATTATAAATTTTACAGCTAATAAGTTTTATTTTTTTTTTAATCAAAACACGTTAAACTGGTTGGATTCTGATCATTTGGGTTGTTAGTGAGTTAGATTTATATGTGTTACGGGTTAGGTTTGAGTTGATTGAATTCGAATTAGGTTAATTTTGGATTGAACTTAAACCTGACCAGTTGACCCATTTTGATACTTCTTGAAATTACCATTTTTGTTTTTGAAAAAAAAAATAGGTCTTGAAAATTCAATATGATTGGAAATTAATTCATTGCTCTAATTACCAATCATTTACTTTCAATCGGTTAAATATGTTAGCAAATACCCCTAACATTCCAAACCTAAGGGTGACTCTAAGTGTTCATTGGCTTAACTTCACGAAAAATTGTTCTGTGTGGACACCGGACGTCGTCCAGAGTAGAATCAGAGTGCGCCATGTTACCATTTTGTTATGTACCGCGACTATGTACCGCTGTGTATCAAGTGATGTGAAATGCTCTGATTTGCCTTCGAACAGTCCGACGTCCTCAGAGAATAATCTTTCTAACTATATATACATGCTTGCCCTCTTAATCTATCTCAAACCTAAACTCTCCTTCAAATGAACCAAACAATCCCTTTAAATCTTTACATGCCAAAACCAAAATCAAAATAAATTTATTGTATTGCAAAATAAATAATCAAATAATTCATAAAAAAATTAATTCAATTTTAATTTTTAATAGTAATCGTATTAAATAAAATGTAGAAGTTAGCTCACATAAAATTGCATAAATCGATATTTATTGGATTTACTAATCCTACTAGCAGCCAAACACCCCCTTCATTTGTTTTTCGTCTGCCAGAAAGAAGCTGCTGGTTTCATCTCTGTTATAACTCCAACTTCTTCACGGGAGTACTGATCAGTAGATCTCGAGGTCATGTTGGTGAAACAATGAGTAAAGATGAAACCTGCTGGTTTCAAAAGCCGTACTTCGCTTCTGCTGCTATTTGGTCCAGCGCCAATGCTTGTTCCTCTGCTTTAACTGCGTTCTTCCTTAAAAATTGTATCTTTGGTGTTGGATTTACTTTTTCGAATGACGGAAGGCAGAACTAAAGAACGCGAGTCGGGTGAGTGGAATCCTAAGTTTTCGTCTTGTGGCATTTCACTTTGAAGCTCTTAAGCCCTTTGTTCTAATCCTCTTGTAATGGGCAAAGGGCGACCTTTCTATAATAATCCTTTTGGAAAGAATTAGAAAGAAGGCGTTTATTTGCTCTTCTGCTTCCTCTTTGCTCACAAAGTAACGACGACGACTGGAGCTTGCTCGTTGCGAAGGTAGCCATCTTTCTTCCTTTCGCGCGCTTCTTCGGCCAAATCCCGTAAATCCGCCGGGATTTAGGGCAAAAAGAGGGAAACGGAGGATTTAACTCGCTGTGAATTTTACAGTTCCCTAAATCTAAATCCTGTTTGGCAGGATTTAGCATAAATACTGCTCAAATCCTGCATAAATCCTGTATCCAAACAGCCCTAGCATTGACGCATGGTTCGTATGTTTCTGGAAATTTTCGGGGGTGAAAGGTTCTGACTTTGAGCTGCTTTACTGTTGCATGAAATGGATGATCATGTTATCCCAATTCCAATGCCAGGCCGGTTTCGGAGTAGGAGAATGTTGTTCATGATAGGGATTATTGCTTCACTTATTCTAGTTTTTCATACTTTTACACTACCTTATAGGAGTGTTTCATTGCCTGTGCTTCCTAGCCTCAAGAAAGAAGAGATTTTTTCAGGTGAAGCAACTTCTCTAGAGAGTAAAAGGCTGAATTTGTTTTCACTTTTAAGTGATACACAGAACTCTACTTATCCAAAAGTAATTCTCAAGGAGCTAGAGTCAACTGAGATTAATGATGCCAGTGGAAGAACAGCATTTGATTTCAGAGATGAATTAACGGACGTCGTATCAGAAAAAGTTCTGTTAGCTAATGTTACTGACCATATGGAGGATATAGATCTCGATAGCGAAATCTCATTGGATTTCAAGGAGAGACCACAACTTAAGGATTTTGAGGACCAAATTTCTTGGTCTGTCACAGAGGACGAGATTGTTGACCAAAATGATATTGCTTCTACTGAGGTGGCAAAAAAAGCAGGCAATGATTTTGCCTTTAAATCTCAGAACAATACAGATCTTTTTTCTGAGAGGAACAGAGCATTTCATGAAGAAGTAATTGTTCCACTAAAAGCTGTTCCTTCTAGTAATAATGGGTTCATGAAGGAAGCCTTAGCAGAGAATTCAAGTAGTCATGTTGCAATGCTTTCAGAATTAGTTATCTCATCATTAGGAGGAAATGAAGCAGACTGTAATTCAACAGAATGTCAAATGAAGGGAACAGGCCTTACAAACAAAACACAATTGGCAATTTCTAGTATTTCTTCTTCTTCTTCTTCAGCTTTTGATTCTAAGAATGCTAATATTCACATAACAAAAATGAGGCCAGGTAAGCTGCCGGTATCAGTTTCAGAAATGAAACAGCTAATGCTAGCATACCGTTCTTCTAATCATCAAAAGGTATGTTTATATGAAAAATTACACTGGCATCCTATGCTGGCCTTCTTTCTTATTTCCTTCTCCTGGAAGTATAATTTGCGTTTATGATAGAGCAGTGGCATTCAAAACGTGATAAGCAGCTTATAGCTGCTAAGGCACTGCTACAAAACACTCCTGTCGTGAAAAATGATGAGGAACTTTTTGAACCTGCTTTCTGGAACATTTCCTGGTTTAAAAGGTAAGGCCTTCTTGCTTATTGTTTTTTATTTCTTTGTTCGTTGTATTCTTCAACCCTACTGTGTCGCAGATATTGTTTGTTTATGCAACTGAAATCATTTTTCTTATTCCTGAACTTCAGTAACTTTTTTCCATGTATTTTTCTTGACGCTTGTTAGAGATATCTTCTTGGTGCTCTTCTAAGAGGCGATAAACACAGTAAAATGTCATGATAAACATGAAAATCCTTGCTCATGATTTAAACTTTATGATTGTTGTTCTTTTTGTTGATTTTCACCAATGATGTCTTTTTTTTTTTCTTTTCTGTACTTGTTTCAGTTTTGCTACATTACCAATTAGATTGCTATAAACAAATATGATAGGAAATACTTGAATATTTCAAGTGAACCCTAATAAAGATAGAGAAAAATAGCAAACGATTCCCACAAAATCTGATGGAAAACTCTCCAAATAGTAATTTTATTGCAAAAGGGAGAACTAATGAAAACAATGAAAGCAAAGATACAATTAATACTCAATTCAAGAGGAGGATCGTTCTCTCTCAATCCCTAGACAAAGCCAGGGTCCAACACACCATGAAGAAACTCCAAGAGAACACAATATCTGTGGGCTCCGAAAAATTCCATTTTGTGTGGTGTGATCCCGGCCTCTCTGCGCCATCGGTCTATTTTTTTTTTTTTAAGTGTTTATGTGACAATGACAGCAGAGAGTTTTAACGAGATTAAGTTCCGGGGGAATTTTCAGAAGGCAGATTGAGTTTTAGATAAGACACTACCCAGAGATTTCGCCCTCATTTAATGAGGACTTTTTTATTTTAGTTCTGGTTTCCTATAGGCGCAAGCCCCTATAGTTAATTACCCCTCCTGATAACAGGAGAGAACTTTCGATAACAACTCTGCTCTCTTGGAAGAGATTAGTAGGGTGTTATAAATTGACCTGATTCGTCAACCTGATTTGAACTCGACTTAAAAAAATTGGATTCGGTTGACCCATTTAATAAACTGGACGGGTTTAAATTGACTTACAAACCTGTTTTTTATCCTAAAATATCCTGTTTAACATTTTAAAAAAATATTTTATATGTGATTTTAATCATATTATTTTTTTTATTAAATATTATAAATTTTACAGCTAATAAGTTTTAATTTTTTTTAATCAAAACACGTTAAACTGGTCCGATTCTTGAAATTACCCTTTTTGTTTTTGAAAAAAAATAAGTCTTGAAAATTCAATATGATTGGAAATCAATTCATTGCTCTAACTACCAATCGTTTACTTTCAATCGGTTAAATATGCTAGCAAATATCCCTAACATTCCAAACCTAAGGGCGACTCTAAATGTTCATTGGCTTAACTTCATGAAAAATTATTCTGTGTGGACACCGGACGTCATATAGAATCGAATCAGAGCATGCCACATCACCTTTTTGTTGTGTATCGTGGTTGTGTACCACGTGATGTGACACGCCCTGATTTGCCTTCGAACAGTTCATGTTCTCACATTATAATCTCTCTAACTATATATACATTCTTGCCCTCTTAATCTATCTCAAACCTAAGCTCTGCTTTAAATGAACCAAGCAACCCCTTTAAATCTTTACACCTCATAAGCCAAAACCAAAATCAAAATAAATTTATTGTATTGCAAAATAAATAATCAATTAATTCATAAAAAAATTAATTCAATTTTAACACCTATCGTACTAAATAAAATTTAAAAGTTAGCTCACATAAAATTTCATAAATCGAGATTTATTGGATTTACTAATCCTACAAGCAGCCAAACACCCCCTTCATTTATTTTTCGTCTGCCAGAAAGAGGCTACTGGTTTCATCGCTGTTATATCTCCATCAACTGTTTCATGGGAGTTCTAATCAGTAGATCTCGAGGTCATGTTGGTGAAGGAATGAGTAAAGATGAAACCTGCTGGTTTCAAAAGCCCTACTTCGCTGCTGCTACTCTTTGTTCCAGCGCCAATGCTTGTTCGTCTGATTTAACTGCGTTCTTCCTTAAAAATTGAATCTTTGGTGTTGGATTTACTTGTTCGAATGACGGAAGGCAGAACTGAAGAACGCGACTCAGGTTAGTGGAATCCTAGGTTTTCGTCTTGTGGCATTTCACTTTGAAGCTCTTAAGCCCTTTGTTCTAGTCCTCTTGTAATGGACAAAAGGGCGACCTTTCTGTAATAATCCTTTTTGAAATGATTAAAAAGAAGACGTTTATTTGCTCCTTTTCTTCCTCTTTGCTCGCAAAGTAACGACGACGACGGGAGCTTGTTCGTTGCGAAGGTAGCCATCTTTCTTCCTTTTGCGCGCTTCTTCGGCCAAATCCCGTAAATCCGCCGGGATATACGGCAAAAAGAGGGAAACGGAGGATTTAACTCGCTGTGAGATTTTACAGTTCCCTAAATCCAGTTTGGCAGGATTTAGCAGAATTACTGCTCAAATCCTGCATAAATCCTGTATCCAAACAGCCCCTAACTTGACGCATGGTGTGCTGCTTCTGGAAATTTTCGGGGGTGAAAGGTTCTGACTTTGAGCTGCTTTACTGTTGCATGAAATGGATGATCTTGTTATCCCAATTCAAATGCCAGGCCGGTTTCGGAGTAGGAGACTGTTGTTCATGATAGGGATTATTGCTTCACTTATTCTAGTTTTTCATACTTTTACACTACCTTATAGGAGTGTTTCATTGCCTGTGCTTCCTAGCCTCAAGAAAGAAGAGATTTTGTCAGGTGAAGCAACTTCTCTAGAGCGAAAAAGGCTGAATTTGTTTTCACTTTTAAGTGATACACAGAACTCTACCTATCCAAAAGTAATTCTCAAGGAGCTAGAGTCAACTGAGATTAATGATGCCAGTGGAAGAACAGCATTTGATTTCAGAGATGAACCAATGGATGTGGTATCAAAAAAAGAAGTTCTATTAGCTAATGTTACTGGCCATATGGAGGATATAGATCTCGATAGCGAAATCTCATTGGATTTTAAGGAGAGACCACAACTTAAGGATTCTGAGGATCAAATTTCTTGGTCTATCACAGATGACGAGATTGTTGACCAAAAGGATTTTGCTTCTACTGAGGTGGCAAAAGAAGCTGGCAATGATTTTGCGTTTAAATCTCAGAACAATACAGATCTTTTTTCTGAGAGGAACAGAGCATTACATGAAGAAGTTATTGTTCCACTAAAAGCTGTTGGAGGAAATGAAGCAGATTCTAATTCAACAGAATGTCAAATGAAGGGAACAGGCCTTACAAACAAAACACAATTGCCAAGTTCTAGTATTTCATCTTCTTCAGCTTTTGGTTCTAAGAATGCTAATATTCACATAACAAAAACGAGGCCAGGTAAGCTGCCGGTATCAGTTTCAGAAATGAAACAACAAATGCTAGCTTACCATTCTTCTAATCATCAAAAGGTATGTCTATAATTCTATATGAAAAATTACACTGGCATCCTATGCTGGCCTTCTTTCTTATTTCCTTCTCCTGGAAGTATAATTTGCGTTTATGATAGAGCAGTGGCATTCAAAACGTGATAAGCAGCTTTTAGCTGCTAAGGCACTGCTACACAACACTCCTGTCGTGAAAAATGATGAGGAACTTTTTGAACCTGCTTTCTGGAACATTTCCAGGTTTAAAAGGTAAGGCCTTCTTGCTTATTGCTTTTTATTTCTTTGTTCGCTGTATTCTTCAACCCTATTGTGTTGCAGATATTTTTTGTTGATGCAACTTAAATCATTTTTCTTATTCCTGGACTTCAGGGACTTCAGTAACTTTTGTCCATGTATTTTTCTTGACGCTTGTTAGATATCTTGTTCTTGCTCTTCTAAGAGGTGATAAATACAGTAAAATGTCATGATAAACATGAAAATCCTTGCTCCTTATGATTTAAACTTTATGATTGTTGTTCTTTTCATTGATTTTCACCAATGATGTTTTTTTTTTAATCTTTTATGTACTTGTTTCAGTTTTGCTACATTACCAATTAGATTTCTATAAGCGAATACCAATGCTGCTAAGTTCATGGTTATTCCTCATAGTTACAATAGAGCAAAGTTATAGAGGTATAAACTACTTCGGATGTAGTGATTATAGTACATAGTGACCATCAAATCTTGGAGAGTGAGTGCCACTGCCTGCCCGGGTAATTGTCATGTTTCTTGAGATAAAATAGAATTGCGAGTGTGGGACGAAAAAGCCACTGGTATAAGTAGAGAAAGATATATAACGAGAGTCAATATGCTTGCTTCTCGAGGACAAGTGTTTGTCAATTGTTATTATTCTAGAGTTGTGTCAATTTGAATAACTATGGACATATAAAATAGGATGTATGTGCATGTGTAGGAGTTGATTAATTCCTTATCCTGAAGTCTTTTTGATCTTTCATAATGGTCTTCTTATTTTTCAAATTAATATGTTGTAATGTCTACACTTATAGGCTTGTGGCACTGTAAATCTGGAAATGCAAAATTGGTGGTCCTTGCAAATTATTCATTTGGTATGAGAAATTATTTCCTTACCCTGAAGTCTTTTGGACCCTTCATAATTGTCTTCTTATTTATTAAATTAATATGTTGTAATAGGCTTGTGGCAATAAAAATTTGAAAATGCCAAATTAATGGTCCTTGTAAATTATTCATTTGGTATGGCAAATCATGTCAAGAGTATACATGAGTAATATTAATATTGACTTCCTAAATATTTTGTAGATTAGAATACTTCATTCTCTTGTCAACTATAGGCAATGTTCAAGTGCTAGTTGGTGTTCGCAACATTGGCTAGTTATTAGATTGTGATGCATCGCTCCTTGTTGTACTTTTAACTAAGAATATTAACAATTCTATCTCAAGCCAATATATTGTTGGCTCAAGATCATATTGAGGTTTCGTTTGGGACGGCTTTTTTACCGCTTCTTAAAGCAGCTTTTTAGTACAAAAAATAAAATTTTCTACTAAAAAGTTGTTTAAGAAGCAATAAGAAAGCCGTCCCAAACAAAGCCTGAATAAGAAATCTATAGGACATTTGAGATACTATTGTACTTTGTGGACATTCCTACTTGTAAGATTTTGATGCTAGATACTTGTCCTGGGTGGTAATAAATGAAATGATTTCATTACTTTTCTTTCCATAAGAATGCAATATAGTCTGTAATTATATTCTATTCACTTTACATTGCTTTTCTATTGTCCATTTAACTTTCATTTGTTCATGGCACCATATTTCTTTGCTGCAGAAGCTATGAATTGATGGAACGGACGCTAAAAATCTATGTATACAAGGAAGGAAACAAGCCTGTATTTCATCAGCCACTTTTGAGAGGAATATATGCTTCTGAAGGGTGGCTCATGAAGCTATTGCAGTCAGACAAACATTTTGTTGTTAGAGATCACAAAAAGGCTCACCTATTCTATATGCCCTTTAGTTCTCGCTTGCTACAACTTGCGTTATATGACCGCACTTCTCACAGCCACAGAAACTTAGCTCAGCATCTGAAGAATTATGTAGAGTTAATTGCAGCAAAGTATCCATATTGGAACAGAACCGGTGGAGCAGATCATTTTGCTGCTGCTTGCCATGACTGGGTAAGTTCTCACCCCTTATTTATAATCTCTCAATTTTATTCCTTGATTGGATTTTTTGCACTTAGAGGAGGTAGCATGTCTAGCCTAAATTCCTGAAATCTTTTCTGAGATTAAACTCTGGTTGCATGAAAATTGTTTGTTTGAAAGCATAATTTTTCCTTAAAGATCTGAAATTCCGTAAGAGATCTTTCAAAATTCAGTCGTGTTATCAAGAATAACAATATTTTCATGTAATGTTCTCTGAAAGCATTAGATTTGCACTTTTATTCTAGAATCAAAGTCGGAGCTATCACAAGAAGCGGGCAGAGGTAAATATATCAGAATTGTTGCATCCTAGAGTATTCGCGATAGTAGAGAAAAATAAAGTTTAACATCTTAACGTTGTACGAAGATCCAACACGCATACAGATAAGAGAGAGGGTGTAGCATTTATGAGACACCAAGATTTTTATGTGAAAAACCTCTGAAAAAGGGGAAAAACCATGGGGTCTAACCCAATTTGAATGAATCCACTATTATTTGCAGTCGATTACAAATGAGGCCCTTCTTTAGAGGAAAGGCCTTGGCATGATGTACATTATATGAAGTACATGGTGGGAATACAAAGAGTCACTGTTGACATGTTCATTTGGTCAGAAGGACCATAGTTGATGGGTGACGTAAGTCGGAAGGATCGTAGTCGGCAGGCAACGAAAGTCGGTAGGACCGTTGTCTGACGACGGAGGTCTGAAGGAAGGTGTCAGGTAGAAATCTGGCAACGAGCAGAAACGTCGGGTAGAAGTCCGACGTCAGTGAGCAGCCAGGGAGAACTCTGGCGTTAGATGATATTCGGGCAAAACTCCAGAGTCATTTGGAGATCGGACAGAATTCTAGCATCACTTGAAAGTCGGGCGGAACTCCGGTGTCACTTGAAAGTTGGGCGGAACTCCGGCAGTGGTCGAGGAGGAGTTTCTTTCCTCATCTTCTTCTATTCTCCTCTTCTTCCTTCTTGCTTGGGTCCCCTCTTAAGAGAAATGAGGGGCTATTTATAATTTTCTGAGTGGCATGACTCATAAATAGGGGGGGATCAAGGGCAAATGTGGAGTGGTTTGGATGGACAGCCGATATTTAATCCCTTGATCGTGGATCGTTCGCTACATATTTGAAGGTCTTAATGATATCAAAATTCGGCAATCTTGGGCTCATTGGATTCGTCTCATCGAGCCGTTCTATTCGACTATAAGCATGTCATGTTTTGAAACTGTTTGGTAATCTAAATTGTGGTTTGAACCTTCTGAATGTGCTTTGGGCCTTTGATTTGAACCATTTTGGGCTCAGATTGAATTGACTTTGGTGTCGTTGGGTTTGTATTTCCGAGACGATCTGTTCGACTGTAAGTTTGCTGAAATCGGAGTTCAGATGATCCCATATTTAATTTTTGAAGTTTCCAACTTGATTTTTCCCTCGAGATTCATGTCCGATCAATATAATTTTTTTGATGACTATCAAGATTAATCCTTTTGAAATTTTTGTTTCCTGTTATTATTTATCACCTTGCAATAAACATACTAAAAGCTATGATGCACGGACACGGACACGGCGACACGGACACGACACGGACACGGGACACGGTTTTTTTTTTAAATATAGGACACGGGTACGGCGCGGACACGGCAATACATTTTTTTATATAGTGTATATATATTAATATAATATCATATTAGAAATGACAAACATAATAAATGAATGACATGATAACTTGTCTAGCTTATAGTATACAATATTTAATACAAAATATCTAGTACAACCACAAAAATATAAGCAAATAATAACTTACTACAACAGCAAGCATTCAAGCTTCAACTATTAGGATTAGCTTTAGAGGTTTGTTTTTTGTCTTCAATATCATCATTATTGAATATCACTACTTTCAACTCTGGTTCAACAAGAGATTTGTAATTGTGCAAAAAGAGAGAAGATAAAAATACCTTCACTGCCAAAGAGAAATGAAAATGAAAATATTCGATGAATGGGTATTAAATGCAGACGTTGATTTGGTGTTATGGATATGAAATAAGAAATTTAGTTTAAATCTCGTCAAATATAAGAAATTATATTTTTAAAAATTATAAAATATTTAAGATACGGGACACGCGTGTCTAATTTGTTTTTAATATTTTTTTAATCGGACACGTTTTCATCGTCTCCGACACGTGTCGGACGAGTGTCGTGTCGGACACTGCACGCCTCTTTGAGGAGAAGTGTCGGTGCATCATAGACTAAAAGTTTGCTCTTTATCCAGGTCAGTTTTCATGCATAGAGCAAATCTGAGAAAAGTTATTGAATCTTGCATCAAAAAGCCTCTTAGCAGAGTCGCTGTTAACTATACTTCCTGGATCTTTTTCCAGTATTGCATGTTTCTGTTCGGTTGTTTTGCTTTAGAACATGATAAACATTTAATCAAAGAACTATGCTGTTGAATATTAGTTTAAGAGAATTCATTACCTGGTAATCACTTTATCATTTCCATTCAAAAGCATGTACATATTATTCTTAAATAAAAGCTTAAACCTTGTCTTCTTGTTATGATTGATGAAACTTCCTACACCTAGATTTTTGAGATTGCTAAGAAATTCAATACCTTCAAGCTTGATCTCCTAACAAGTCCCAATTTTCACTTGGTGGAGGGTTAAGATTTTGACTTTAGATTGAAGATCACGCGAAAAGTGGAACCATTTTTGGCTCAATTTGAGCTAAAGTCCAAATCAATGAGGTGTCTGACATGCTATAAGTCCAGCTTAGATTGAACTGAGATCATGCCAAGCTCGGATCGAAACTAGCCACCTTAAAATAAGATCAAAATTAATTTTTGTACGTAAAAATTCGTGTATGCTTATGTGCATCTTTCTGTGTACCTATTTTGTAAGCATTTTTAAGCATTTATATATGCATCTATAAATTCACGCCTCTGATTAGTTGTGCTTCATCTGCCAGGCACCTCATATAACAGCACAAGCCATGGGAGCTTCAATCCGGGCCCTCTGCAATGCTGATCTCAGAAGAGGTTTCCAGTTGGGAAAAGATGTTTCTCTTCCTGAAATCTACGTCCGTTCGGCACGAAATCCTCTCAAAGATCTCGGTGGAAATTCTGCAGACAATAGATCAACTCTAGCCTTCTATGCAGGAAATCTGCATGGTCGACTCCGTCCTATCCTTCTGCAGCACTGGGAGAACAAAGACCCAGACATGAAAATCTTAGGCCCCATGGCTCCTGGTGTGGAGAGCAAAATGATCTATATCCAGCACATGAAGAATAGCAAGTATTGTATCTGCCCAAGGGGCTATGAAGTTAACAGTCCAAGAGTTGTTGAATCCATCTACTATGAATGTGTTCCTGTCATAATATCTGACAACTACGTTCCACCTTTCTTTGAAGTGTTGAATTGGGAAGCTTTCTCTGTTATAATTCCGGAGGCGGATGTGCCGAGACTGAAAGATTTACTGGTTTCAATCCCGGAAGAGAGATTCAGGCTGTTGCAGCTGGGAGTAAGAAAAGTTCAAAAACACTTTCTCTGGCACAGCAAGCCTTTGAAGTATGATTTGTTTCACATGATCCTTCACTCAATATGGTACAATAGATTGCATCAGCTAGGAATTGGATGAGAGGGTAAGCGAAAGAACTGGTAACCATGAACTTGGAGGTTGTGAAGTCAGGAAAGTGGTAACTTCTGAATATGAGCTTGTAAGCAACTGTATGATATAACGGTTCTGGTTTAAAGAAGTTGAATTATGAACAATCTGTGGTTTTTGTAGGCATCTGCTGTCTGATTTGATATTAATTCATGTAGCTACGTCAGTTTGATGTTTATGTTTATAGAGTGATGCTAAGGCTTTATTTGGGATGACTTTCTTACTGCTTCTTAAAGTAGTTTTGTAGTAAAAAATTAAAATTTTTATACTAAAAAGTTACTTTAAGAAGCAGCAAGAAAGTCATCCCAAATAAAATCCAAGTCTTAGATCCAAATATTGTGAATGATATTGTTCATTGGAACACTTGTTTTGTAGCTGTTCAATTTCCTATTTTGAGAGAATGGAGCTGCTTCTACTCTACTCCTTTTCATAAATGGCATGTTTTGAAAGTTGCAGTATAGTAAGATGTTGCTCTTTGTGAATACAGAAAGTTAATGCTTTTGCTGTTTAAAATAATTTCGATAAAATGTGTTTATTTTTTATGAGAATTCTTCGTTCAAATGTTGGCTGAAATTTGATTTCTTTAGTTTTGCGATCTTTAATTGCAGTGCATTAATGTCAACCAATTTCACCTTAACCCACACAAGAAATGGCAGATACAGTCAACAGTTAGGCAAATATGCTGCTCTCAACGGCCACCTCCACCACCACCAGACACACGTAAAATTTTGTCAGTGAATTTAATCTACTAAGGGCATCTCCAACGGAGAATTTCATTTTTCACGACAAAATACAACAAAACTCCAAAATGCTGTGGTGCTGCTCCAATTGAACTCCATTTTAAGTGCTTCTGTGAAGGTAACGATCCTTCTCTCTTTCGCGCGTTTATCCGGTTGAGAGAGCAAAATAGCGTAGGTGAACAGTGTAACGCTAATATTGGCGTTGCACTGTTCATCCGCAAGTAAATGGCGGAAGATTTGACGTTCGGCTGGAGCGACCGAACGACGCCATACGCATGTTTGACGTTCGGTTGGAGATGCTCTAAGCAGATTTTTTTATGTATTTAAAAGTTTACAATGAAGAATTGAGAGTTGAGCACCTTGAGGTGGATTTACCCAAACCAAGCAACATAAAGTGATGCCATGCCTAGCCAGGGATTAAATTAAATTGTGATAGTTATGGATAAATGTCATTGGTGATGAGAAATTGCATGAAGAAAATTAACCCCAATAAAAGGGCATCCATTAGGACTTAGAAACTAGAGAAGGGTAGGTAATAGCTTAGGCTTCGTTTGGGCGGCTTTCTTGCTGCTTCTTAAAGCAGTTTTTTAGTACAAAAATTAAAATTTTTATGCTAAAAAGTTGTTTTAAGAAGCAATAAAAAAACCGTCCCAAACTAAGCCTTAATATTGGATCAAAAAAGTTCAACGTCAGGAATAAGATTTTATCTAGCTTTTTACGATACCAACAAGCTTTTTATATAACTTCAGTTGAATTAGAGTTCTCTTTGATTTGATGTTAAGAACTTTATTAGCCAACCAAGAAGTCTTAAAGTTTCTTTCATGAAAGATATGAGCTAGTCTAAATTAAAACTTCAAATGTCAAAGCTTAATTTTAGAATAAAGATTTTGATACTCCTAGCTAATAGATAAATTAGTATTCTGAGTAAGCAGGTACTGCTCATCCACCTAACAAAAATAGCTTGATTGATCCAGTTAGTGCCCTAGTTAGAAGACCTTACTCATTGGGGTAATCAATTTGAGCCATTAGTCTAGGCAATCAAGTCAGAGATTATTGTTCACGTGTAGCCATTGGTTCTTGTATTCTTTTTAACCTATAAATATATTTTTGGAAGGCTTTTTTTAGATTCATGCCATTTTTACTATTCGCAAAGATTAATAGTATATCAGAGCTCTCTTCTCCTTATTCACCCATCTTTTATTTTTCTCGTTCTACCATTCTAGCTAGTCTTTTGAGTAGGGTCAAGGTGTCGCCCATGGACAAATTTCGTTAGACAGGCCCAAGGGCCAGCTAAACCGGTCCAGGATGGACCGGTTCATGTACACAGAAGGGGTACGAGAGAGAGAGAGAGAGGCGGCTGATGGGATGGGGTACACGCACTAATTAAAATTTAAATTAGGGGTTGTTTAGAGATTAAGTATATATCTTTTGCTTTAATTAGTCTCTTCTTGTTAGGATTAGGATTATCTTGGATTTGAAATCTGAATTTGAGATCTTGGCATGGATTTTGGGCTGTAGACTTTGGCTAGAGATTTGGAGAGCTGAATCTTCCTCTCAAATTAAAAATTCATTGTATTGGATTGTTCTTTTCTTTCTATTAGTGAATTTCAAGTGTTCTTCTTCATTATTTTTCTTCTAGATTCTGAGAACTGTGCACGTTACTTGCTGAATTTCTCTGAAAGTCAGCTAGTTTTCCTCTGTTTTTAGTTCTCAAATTTGAAAAAGTTTTACTGGCTATTCTCTATCAAATTTGTGTTCTAATAAAAATGCTTTTTGAACGTCAAATTGAACCTATTTAGATGATAGTTTTATTTAATGTTATCCTCATGAAAATCAAATGATCAATGAGAGATTTAAGATGTAACCAAAGATAAGTGTATATATCAACCACTCTATATGGCCATAACGTGTAAACATAAAAACTTTGTTACTATGACAAATCTATCAATTTTGAAATCAACATAGTCAAGGGGCACCCAAAGAATGATAGCCTATTTTTCAACGAGTGACCCTAGCAACAAAGAGGCTAAGAAACAACAAAAACATCAAGCCTTTATCCCACTACGTAGGGTCGGCTATATGAATACTTTTTCTCCATTGTGTCCTATTAAAGGTCAAATTCTCGTTTAAATCTAATAAAGAAAGGTCATTCCTAATATTTTCTAACCAAGTCTTTTTAGGTCTGCCTCTAACTTTCTTAACATAAGTCAAATCTAATACCTCTACTCTCCTAACCGGGTCATTGGAAGGCCGCCGTTTTGTGTGACCAAACCATCTAAGATGACTCTCTCTAAACTTATTTTCTACTGGAGCTACTCCAACCTTTTCACGTATATGCTCATTTTCAGGGGTGGAACCAGCTTCAATTTTGAGGGGGGCAAATACAATATACAAATAATTAAATATTACAAATAATATATATAAAAGTTATTTAAAAAAATTAAGTAAGAAAAATAAAAAAAGTGTAATTAAATAGTCTTGAAAAACACAAAAGAAAATATTAAAACTAAATTTGAAGAAATATATAGACATTTTAGGACAAAAAAAATTTTTGGGGG